TGTCGAGCCTTTGATGAAAGTCAATCATCAACAATCAGTTTTGTCCCGGAGGCCTAATTTAATCCTCTTTCCCTTCCCACCTTTTTTCTTATAAGGAAAGGATGGGAAGTTGACGTGGGTCTTCCGGATGAGAGGATGCATCGAAAGGGAAAATATTTTCTTTCTGTGCATCCTCTCCTCGATCGACTAAAGGTGTAACGCATTTGCAATTGCGTATGTCTTTGCCACCTTATGATATATAAATATGCAAGGATGGGAAAGATAATAGTGAAATAGATCGTATTTACTGGTACCCTTTCATGTTATAGAAGTAAAATAAAAAGCACTTACTTATTATGACCAGTAATTTTATAGAATCTAGATTCTAGATTTAGTATGTAAATTCTAACATAACATAATAATGGTTATGTAAGTGAATTGGAAAAAGTAATTAAAGTGTTCCTACTGACCATGACATAATTAATACAAAATTTATTTTATTTAAGATTTTTCCCGTTAAAATTTGTTTAGAATTTTCATCGAGCTCAGAAGTCGAAGTTTAAAGGCAATTGTTTAGAAAGTCTAGTACTTACCGAATGCCTGGAGCCTAAACAATTTAGATTCAACAGCCGCCAGCGTACCGAGTTTAAAACCAACAAATTAAATACACTTTTAACCGCAGCTAATGCCGGGTTTCCACGGTACGTTATTCTGCAGACGACCAACAAAACACAGTTTATTTCTAGTATTAAAAATACGTGAAGAGGAATGGAGAAGTGAGGAAGAAGAGAATGCATTTTGTGGTAGAGGTACCGCGCGTTCGAACGAAGCGATTCGAAGCATCGTTCCTTGTGCGTACCGCAAAGGATTGGAACAAGTTGCCAGCCTCTGTTTTTCCGTCCAAATATGATATTGGGACCTTCAAAAGTAGAGTGAATAGGCACTTACTAAGCTAGCGCGTACCATCTTTCGACCAAATCTCCACTTCACCAGGTGGGATCGTGGTCAAGCGCTAGCTTATAAAACGTAAAAAAAAAGAAGAAAATAACCTACTTATGACCTTTATAGACTCGTAATAACCGTCGAATTTATCTATTGACGTTATTTGACAGATGTAGACGAACTTACGTATACTGCGTTTGATGTTGGTGTATCCACGATATGTTTTGCAGATCAGTCTAGAGTTCGTAGCATTCACCGTGGAAACCTACCTTAAACTGCATGCTCCAGGGTTAATGAGGACGTTTAATCTTGCTCCCTAATTGCGGGGGAGTATGTGTTCTTTGCGGTTACCGTTCGGAAGGTGTTACTTATTTTAGATTAAGACAATTTATACAACGGTTACTAAACGTTTGCTCTAAGTTTTGGAACTCTATTAGGATGAAACATTTTAGTTTTTGATTTTCATTTGTTTTTCTTTTTCAATTTATTTACGGATATGAAAATACAAAGGAACTTTTGAGGAGTTTGAGGAATGAAGTCTATGGAAGGATAAGATCATCTATCAATCTTTTACTTTTTCTGCTAAACAATCTAATTAACATACTAATATTCTTTTCTTAACTTGTTTAACAATTATTTTACGGATACATTGGTGCTAGACTCATTTCACTACCAAATATTTGTAAATTAAGTTTATTTATGACGAATGGTTTCCGTAAGATCATTTGTCGACTGTTTACGATGTCATCCGGAACATAGCTGATAGACCGATGATGTTTCTTGGAACGAAATCGAATAGTTTAGGAGTCTTCTACATTAATAAGCGACTGCCCTTGCAATAATATATTTCGGCATAGGTTATTATTTTCATGATAGTAACATGAATAGTAATGGGGGAGTGCTAGCTTGTTGCCCGCGACTCTGTCCGCAATTAAAAAATTTTAATAAATAGACTGTGTGTTCCAGACTATGTTCTATATCTATGCCATATTTCAGCGAGATCCATGCAGCCTTTCTGGGTATATCTTCTAACAAACATCTATCTATCCATCCAAATGCATTTCTAATATTAGTAAGATTGAGTCTTTGAAGATTTAGTGCATGACCAAGTAAGTAATGGGTCATACTAATTTAAATACCACTTTAAAAGATTCATCTGCTTTTTTTAATCTATTCCATTCGGTGAAACCTTTGCCGTTCTTCTTTCTGTTATGAATTATACTGGCATGTTTCACTTTAATGTGGTAACATAGGGGATGCCATTAAAATATGAATTTATAAAAAAAAAAACGATGAAAAAAAATGTATATGTTTTATTGAATGAAATGGCCAGTTGCCAACATTTGATTTGTTAGCCTCTCATGCTATTATGGTCTCGATATAAAAAAATAATTTAACACAATTGATAGTTGTTTGTGCAATAAAATGTATTGAATTATCCCGTTATTGCTTTTAAAAACATTAAAATCTTTTTCTTTAAACACTTCAGTTTGATCATCATTGTAATCTACCCTACTGTATCCTTTCTGAGATTTTGTGACAGTAGTCACTCTTTGTCTTGAAGAGGCATTTACAGCTATCTTACTGAGTTCTCAATTAGTCCTCTAAATCAATCTATTATTTGTCATTCCAGTCGTCACTCTTTTCTTCATCTCTTTTGCAATGATGCTCTTTTGTCCATCAGCTACAACAATTGTTGTCAAATTAGTTTGTAGAACAAAATTTTAATACTTTTTCTTTCATTCTAGATCGCTTTTCTTCCGTACTATAGCGTATCCCAATCTTAAAAGAACACGGACTGTAAAGGAGCGACGTTCTAATGAGGGTCCTTAATTTTCCCCGTTTTATTGTGCTTTGAAGTCACGGTGTCGCGTCCGCCGCCCTTTTTTAATTACGTCATTAAATAGCAATTTTATTTAAATGGCGGTTGACATGATCATTGTTTTCACAGGGAACTTATCTAATTTAGAATATTACGTGTCTCATCGACTCCTACATTCAAAATAACTTTTTTATTGGGAAACTTAAGAATGTTATATGCCAGAAATGTTTCAACCCTTTCGCGCTGTTCATTAAGACTTTGTATTGTTTTTAATACTTGCTTTACTAGCTATGTTAATAAAAAATTTGTAAGACGTCCGATTGGTCCAAAAACAATTCTAAATATAGCAAAAAATTATTTGATTCGAATAACAAATAATTGTACGAGGATTTACATTTTACTCTGTAAATATTAATAACGTGTGGGCGTTCGTTGTTCAATTAGACGTATTGTAGTTTCAGAATGCGTTATAGGATTTTGGGCTGTTAGTTAATTCATGCGTGGGCATGAACCATAACCGTCTGAATTGTTCCCGCATATCAACTTAGTTATCCGTTAGTTTGTTTAGAAGTTCGAATTCCTTTACCCTCATCTCTGAAATCAGAATCAATAAGTAACCAAAATACTTATAATTAATGTATTGTCTCTGAATATTTTACTTGTTTGTGGATAGGCGAAGACAAAGATAAAGGTCGAAGAAATATATATGGGTAGGTTGTGTAAGAGGATATGCGTAAGAAAGATGTCACTTCAGATATGACGGTTGATAAAAACCTATCGATTCGTTCTAGTAGATACTGTGGCGACCATCTGAAAATTATGTTGAACGATCTTTAAATATTTTACGTGTAATTTCCAAAATCAGTGGTATAAATTTGTCATATGTAATTGAAAATCGGCTATAAAGAGAGAGCCAAATTAGAAACAAAAGAAGGCTGCGAGACAAATTTGTTACGCAAAGAGGAAAAAATATTGTTCATAATTTATCGGTAGCTTGTGTATGTATAGAAGCGCTCTTGTGGCGGTGTTGTTTATGAGTAATTGAGTATATCATTTGTGTTGGAGGCTGAAGTAGACAGACGGAGAGTGTTGACAGTAACAATGTAAGCCCGACGCGTTCTGTGATTTATTAGCAAGGTTTTACTGTTTCATTGAGCATTGTCCATAAAAAGTTTGCACAAAAATATGCCATTTATATAACTAAGATTATATGTTGATCAAAATATTCAAAACTAATATAAGACAATTTATATAAGTTATATATATAGGTCATTGTAGATGAAAGAAATATGCGTAAGAAGAGGTTCAGATATGACGGCTGATAGAAATGAGTAGTACTTACTTTTCTGACCCTACGTAAGTATAAGGACAGGTTGATGTTTATGTAGCTCGATATATATGTTGTTTTATTGTTGGTTATAGCTATTGGTTGGTGGTAGCTAGGAAGATAAATCCATTCATAAACACCTTTCCCATTTCAAAGTTGGTTATGTGTTGAAACCAAAATCCAATTCCCCAAACACTGCGCGGACGGCCGGGTGAACGCTTCCTGTTTCGAAACGTACCAAATGGCACTTCTTTAACTAATTCAAGCTACTTAAGTATGCCGCCCCGCGCGTGGATTACACACCCGGCGATAAATCTAAGGGGCAAGAGGTCCCAGCTTGTTTATAAATTTAACATGGAATTTCCAACATGTTTGGCTTCTTCTAGATACGAGAAAAAAATGTGGATTTCATTTATAATGCATACAGCGACCGTTGTTCAATTAAAGGACAAACAGAGAAAGGCGTATGAAATCCCGCTGCGAGTGCGAACAAATGGAAGACATAGTAATTTATTACTGTATGTGGAATTTATTAAAAAGTGCTGTCAACGCTTTTTATTGTTTGCAAAATTACGTTTAACTTATAATACTTACTTTATTTTATGTTATTACATATATATAATACTTAGTTATATTTTTATGTGTAGAGAGCGCTCATTCATTAATAGATGTTTCTATTGGTGAATGGGCGTGTTTATAAAAACTTTCGGACTAAACAGCTCTAAGTATCCAAGCGTGAAGGAGATCTTTTCTGTATTCTGGTTAGGGTTCGCAGTCCCCATTTTAGACTTATTGTCATCGTAAACTATCAACGAACAAATGGAAAGACAATTGGTATAGGTGGTAAAAAGGATGGATAACCTAGTAATTCTTTTCTTACCTTCTGGCCATTTAAATGTTGGTTACTTAAGTTTTTGTTATTTGTTTCAGGAAATCGCTGCAATACTCATCAGTTTCGACAAGCACACGGAATGGCAATCAAAGGAAGTCAAAATTCGGTAAGTTATTATGTAATTTCTAATTCTTCTTAAATTTTCAACGCAATTAAATTTCAAATAGTAATTGAATTGTTATTTACAAGATTCAAAAGAAAATTGGAAAAAAATACCTTAAATGAATTTCCAGAAATTACAATTATCCGTTTGCCATGCCATGTGATACCTTGCGAAGCATATTAAGATTAAGTAAATTAACATTCGGAATACAAAACGAAAAATGTATCCACAAGAACATGAATAAAACTATCAGTATTACGTCTTCCTACTTTCGTCGGCCGTACCTAATTTGGCGGCCAACTAGGGACCCGTTCCAACTTGTAACAAGTTTAAGCAAATTAAAACTTCGACCGTGACTACTGCTCGCTTTGTCTGCACCGTTGAAATATTAACTCTTTATGAGGACGCAGTGTACTTGTAGAATTCCGATGCGGCCGCGGATCCGAGTCGTTAGTTTAAAATTTAATACGGATCGTGGTTGTAAGTTAGTTTTAGCAGTCGACGTTTTTGGTACCGGATTTTTCACATTAAATCTTATACTTTGAGCTCATCGGAGTAATAAATAGAATTTATAGGTAGTTGGACTTTGTGCGGGCGGAAAGTTCGCACACTTATTTTGTTATCAGTAAATAACTAATATTGTTCTCGGAGCTCTCATAATTTATAACAAAAATACATTTAAATAAATAAATAATAATAAAACGGATTTATTGCCATCACACAAATACATCAAATCACACAGTAATTACAAATATATATATACCCCGACCCGGACCCGACAGACGTTGTCCTGTCTACACGTCTTTAACTCGAATATTATTTAAAATTTTGCGATGGTAGCGCCGTCTATCGGATCCAATGTAAAACATTCCAAAACAACTACTAATAAATTAAAAATTAATTAAAAAAGCATTGTCCAGCGGACAAAATTGTGAATCTAAACCATTCCCAGATCCCCTTGAACACACACAAAAAATTTCATCAAAATCGGTCCAGTCGTTTGAGAGAAGTTCAGTGACATACACACGCACAGAAGAATTTTATATATAAAGATGTATGACGACTATGGGCTGCAGGCTCAGCGTGTACCGCATGGCATGGCCATGCGGAGCTGGTTTTCAGCCTGTCCCGGTAGGCCACGTTATGGTCGTTCAGAGGTGCCCATCAGCTATTTCATTTAATATATTTCATTTATATTAATATATTTTTATTATCATAGTTGTATTATCTATTCATATATCACTCAAGTAAAAATCTACTACACATTTTGAATTATTCAAACGAGTTGTTTGGATCCAAAGGAATCTTTACAAATACTAAACAAGTAATCCACTTTAGTATTTCATTATCTCATGTGTTTTCCGAGAAGTTGCTAGTTGATTAAATTGTTTTACTGGTACAAAAGTAGGTCTAATATCGTGTTTATAAAATTTAGTGTTTAGTATTTAAAGCTTTAGAATTAATTATACGTAATTCTAATATAGTGAGATGATATATTTCATGGAATTGTCTAATTAATCAGTCGGTAATATTAATTAATAGGATCATTAGCGCTACAGCCGCGAGCATTGCTCTATTGACTTGATCCCGTTCATTTGATCTGATCCAGGCAATTGAAGGCTGCCCATTAGATAATTACACATCAAACACGTATTTAATACATTAACATCGTGTATTAGTGTGGATTTGAGTGGATACATTAGTGGGCGTTGATATGTCTTCAATTTACACACCCTTTAGTGGTCGTTACACGCTTCAGTGGATTTAGATTGACAATGTGTTACAACCATCATTATAACAATGTCAAAAATGTACTATATAGTCTTTAACTCGCTGGTTTAGATCCGGCTCGAAGGACTTATTTGTTTTAGTCAACAAAAGACATCAGTAAAAAATATCGTACATAGTCGCCTTTATGTATACACATAAATTATATTACGATCGCTGTGTTAGATTTGCTTAGTCTTTGCTTCGGCTTCTTTGATCTTTAACAAGTAAAAGTAAAATTTGCCTGGTGAGGTTAGTTTTTGGTGAAATCAGACTAGTGTAAAATCTATGAAATGATAGCACTTAACGACTTTATTAATTCAAACGAAAGGAATTTTTTTTTGATTTGCGACAGTTTGAATTAATTCCGTCCAAAGTTTATGTACAGTCACGCTCGGAACGGATCTAAGTTCAATAGGAACTGTAACAAAACTAGAAGTAATTTAGAAAACTGAAATTATTTAAGCTTTGAGTTACGTTCTCTCGCCACGAAGCTTAGGGTCAAAGTATCGCAATAAATCGAATCGTAATGAGCTATAAAGTCGGTGAAGAGAAACAAGCAATAACAAATAAATTTGAGGTAGCTACAGCTTTTTATTTGGTGATTAATATTTTACGTTTAAAATATAATAAATTTCTATCATTCAAAGGATTAAAAGGGACATTTGTCTTCACCAGTATCCCGACCTTTTTTAATATGATTGGGAAAGTAATTTCTCGAAAGTCCCTTAGGGCATGTTTGCATGGTTTTGACATCGGTTTTTAACCCTTTGATTTTTTTTAATTATAAGCTAAAATCCTTTGTGTGTCCGAGTATATTATAAAATAGGCTTACTTCATGATAAGGATTTTTATTTGTTTATTCCAGACATTTTTAATATTAAACGTAAAAGTTATAACAAATTAAACCGTATAAATAATATAAAGTCTAATTAACGAAATATTACCGCAAACACAGTTGTAATGATAAGATTAAAGAGGCTAGGGAGGTAAGCAACGCCCCAGGCGCTGTCTGATAAATAGGTCTTGTAAAAACTTGCTCGGTGTCACAAAACGTGGCAATTATATAGAAGCGAACTTAGCCAGTTTTATGGGCGAAGGGTAAAAGTGGCGGAGTTCTGAAAACTCCTCAAATGGCTTTCCGAGGACTGAAATATATCACTCGGGACCTCCTTTTTTATGAGATAAAGTTAAAATCGGTCAAGTGCGTGCGGGAATGTAATTTTGGTAATATTTTCGATGTCTTTGTGGGATTTTTATTTCCTTCGTTTTATAAGTTGCGTAAAGTTATTAGCGCTTAATAGACTTAAGTTTGAAAAATTTTCATAATATCACTTGAGTCCAAAGTTAAAACTAAATTTCGTATCAAAATCTTTTAAAGCACTTTAATTTAAATGATATTTTATTTTAAGTTTATGGGATTAGGATACAAAATGCAATGTCCGGCTTAATGGGCCGCGTCCACCACTAACAAGCGAGTGATCGGCCAATACCGATTACGTCCACTCGAGGCCGGGCCGGTCGAGGCGCGGGCTAACGCGGGCTCCAACGGACATGACGAGCTAATTCTCTGTAAATCACTCGATTCATGAATCGTTTCTCGTATACCGTATTTATCGCGACGATTAGTCTGATGGAGATAGAAGATTGGAATTAGAGCTGACGAATGAGAATCGATTACGATTGACCATCGCAACGAACTGTCGTCTTCCGTCACTATTAATTCTAGAAGTGGTGTGAATTTTTCTCTTTCGATGTTTTGTGGTTCCAGTTATTTGATTCAACATGTTGAACCAATTTTTTGGATTTGTTCTTTTTCTTGTTTTTAGATTTCTCAATGTAAAGGTTAATTAATTAATTTAATAAATTTATGTAGTAACTAGACGATTATACAAACATGAAAAAATTTTGGTAACAAAAAAATCTAAGAATTAAATCAGTATGTAAAAGATCACCAAGTCTTTTTATTAAATGTAAGAATACTTTTCGTAGAATCCACGACGAGCTGTCCCGATTTTAATTCCCAAGTATAATGAAAAATGTCTTCATTGTAGTTGGCTTCGAAGGCTCATTGTTATTTGAAATCTCACCATTGGATCCCGTTTAGTCTTCGGAACAACCGCTGATATTTCTTTTGTTACGGAAGCTTGGAATTATTCAAATAGATGGACCGCTTGAGATGCTTCGAGCATTTTAAAAGTGGCTCTTTATGGAGTGGAAGTGATTTCAGGCTTTTGATTCTCATATGTATCAAAATATTTCGTTTATCTTACTTGAGAGCATCGTATTTATTTTCACTATCAGATACGTATTTAGGATTGTAATTTTATTCAATCAGCATTTGTGAATTACTCTCGTATAATAGTTGGGCTGATTCAAAATCCTTAAGTAAAATTGTAATCAATTGAAGAAATAACTAGTCAACAACTGTTTTTTCTTAATTAGTGTATATTTTTACTCTTTTATCTTTAATTAAATTTACAAAGATGACACAAAATGCTATTGTAGAAGCTTCAAAGCAACAAGAGGTAACGGAGCCGCAAAGTAAGAAAGCTTGTTAACCTGATTCACATCTCTAGTACTTAAAACAATGTTTTCTGTGAGTTAGTCAAGTACGATGTAACGCCGGAACGAAATAAATTTTAAGAAAGTATAAAAACTAGATTTTTTAAATATTTTCCAAATAATTGTTATGCTTAAAATTGTCATGACTTCCTCACTTCCGTAGTCATTTTTGTGGCAATATTCACTGACCTATAAATAATTTATTTTATCAATTAGTGTGGATGGTTTTCAGGATTTCTACATATTTTTCGTTACTGCCAAATGTTACATTGCCTTGTATTATAAAATAAACTTGAAAAAATTGTTGTCCCATCCCATCTATCACTGCAAGAGGATTTAGGTCGTCTCGGCGATTGCATTTGAGTAGATATCACACGTGCGCAGACTACCTTTTGGTACGACAAGCGCCCCAGCGATATTCCAGTTTGCTGGCGCACTTGACAAACCTATTCTTAAATTCATACAGCACAGAGACGGGCTACGTGCTTAGTGGAGCTAGCAGCAGCTCTTTTGCACTGAACGAGGTCGTATGTAATTGATATATGCGATTCGAATTCGATAAATTATTTTCTTATGTTCACAATGTAGTAAAAAAGTGTATATGCTTGATAGTCAATTATTTAAGGCAAAAATTATATATTTTTGTTTTTATATCATAAGGTGGCAAACGA